TGACGCGTTCGTCCGGGGCCGGGGGTGGGGGTCAAATCTGAGGTTTGAGGTCCTTGGGGGGGGGGTTACCCAGAGACCCACAAGGGGTCGGCGGTTTTCTGTGGGCCCTCGCCTGTACTGGGGTGCTTTCTCGCCTCGGGATCTCCGGGTCTTCGTCTGTACTGGGGGGCTTTCTCGCCTCGGGATGCCCTCCAGCAGCTGCGCCTCGTCGGGGGCCTCCCAGGGGTGCCAAGGTTGCCCTTGCATCCCTGCCCCTTCGGCCCATCATTGGCAGCCTCCGCCGGCCAGCCCCGCTTGGAGCACGTTAACATGGCCTTCCAAGGCCTTTGCAAGGGCGCATGATAAGGATGCTCGGTCAGGCTGCAAGGGCCTCGGAAGGCCATGTTGACGTCTTTCGAGCGGGGCTGGCCAGCGGAAGTTGCCAAGGATGGGCCGAAGGGGCAAGGACGCAAGGGTATAACCTTGGAGCGCTGCTCAACCTTACCGCGCATCCCTACTTCGGAGGGCACCAACTGTACACTCACACCGATCCTGGCCAGGATCGGTGTTGGTGCTTATATAACAGCATAAGCTTATGATTTTGGATAGGTAGGTCGGAACAACATCATAACCTTATGATTTTCCAACCTACTTTTAGTCAGCCACGCGCAGAGGGGTGTGGGGGGAGGTGGGAGGGCTTCTCAGAAGTCAGAAGGCGCGGGCCTCATCTGTAGATATAAGGCCAGCGCCTTCCAAGAATCAGGCTCCTTCTGAGAAGCCCTCCCCCCTCCCTCCACCCCCCTGTGCGCGCCGCCAGTTTAGCCTTGATCACCAGAACGAGTTGCGAGCACCAGGAAGCACCGAAGCTGGAGGGTTTTCACGTGTCGGGCCTGTGGAGGCGATACTCGTTGGACACTGTCTCGCTGCTTTCCTGGGATGGGGGCCTCAAGTACGCTTGGAACAACATGACAGAGGCCTCCGAAGCCTGAGCCTTGAGTTTGCCCCGCCCTCGAACCTTCACCGACCGAGCGTTCCGAGGATGAGAGCGACCCTTCGTCGCTCACGGTGTGGCTGCCCAGTGCCTGGGCGCGCGGCGTCGTCGTCGCCCGCGCCCCGAGAGCCGCCAGCGCTCCCAGGGGCTCCCAGGGGCTCCCAGGTGCTCCTAGGTGCCCCCAGGGGGTCCGTGGGGTTCCAAGGGTTTTCCAGGCGGTCTCAGGGCTCCTCCGGGGATTCAAAGGGTTTTCCAGGGACTCGGGTGCTCTCAAGTGCTCCTGGGGGCTTCCCGCTGCCCGAGGCTGCCGAGCCCGTCCACGACAACTCGTGGGGTAGCGGCCGCCTCGCCCGCGACGCGGCGCGCCAGCCCGGCTCCGGCCCCACGGAGGTGGTGACGCCCCACTCGGCTGGGCGCCGTGCAGGCATCGGCATCGTCTAACCCAGACCCCCAGGGGCAACGATGGGGGGGATGGGCTGATGGAGGAAACTTTTCGGCTTCGAGGCTCGAGGCTCTCGGGCGTTGTCGTCGGTTCTCGGCGGTTTTCCAGCCTCGGGGTGCTCTCCAGCAGCTGCGCCTCGACGAGAGCGTTCTTGGGTACCCAGATCGTCCCGAACGGCTGCCAGAGAGCCGAGTCATGACCCGAAAACCAGACGACGAGGATCACTGGGGGCGACAGGCTCAGGGGGAGATGCACCGTCCCCCAATCGTCCATTCATCGTCGATGAGGGGCCCGATAGAGCCCTACCTGGTTCAGGTATGTGGGGGAATGCTCTCGGGGGCCTGTCGCCGATCCATCGGCGCTGAATCGCCGATTCCAGGTCGATGTTTCGCCACCGATTATGCCAGTCCCCCCCTATCGTTGCTCCTCAGACCCTCTCCGGCCACGAGCAGAAAGTCACGACGAAGGGGCTTCCGGCGGCAGTTTTCGGCGCCCGCGGGCACCCTCGCAGGGCCCTGGGGCCGTCAGAGAACGGCTCGGGGTGGGACGCCGGCTCCGGGGACGGGGTCAGGAACTCTGGTTTGGGGGAGGAGGCGGAGGAGGAGGAGGAGGAGGAGGAGGAGGAGGAGGAGGAGGAGGAGGAGGAGGAGGAGGAGGAGGATTTGGACGCCCGAAATGGGTACAGTGAGCGGCTTGAATAAGGAACACTTGCTTTTCAAAAGGGGCTCGGTCGTTCCTCAGGTTTGCATGCGTTATTGGAAGTTCCGTATGCGTTATGTGTTATCTCTCGTTCCTTATGCGTTATTCCTTGGGATAAAAAGGGGTTTCGTTCCTTATTTATCGTTCCTTAGGTCAGGCCGATGACTTTACGGAAAGAATGGGTACACTGCCCACCAGCAGTTCCTGTTCCTTTTGAGCAGGACTCGCGGTCCGCGCCGCCGCGGCCTGTGTCCATTCGAGACAGAAGGCCGCCTGCCCAGCAGCGGCCGCTGTTGGTTTGGGGCAGCATTTGTTGTTGGGCATTGTACCTATTTTTCCCGTACCAATTTCGGGCGTCCAAATCTGGGGGTCCACGTCGTGAAAAGAGCATGGCGTGAGGAGGAGGAGGAGGAGGAGGAGGAGGAGGAGGAGGAGGAGGAGGAGGAGGAGGAGGGGGAGGAGGAGGAGGAGGAGGAGGAGGAGGAGGAGGAGGAGGAGGAGGAGGAGGCACCGATACCCGTCTCCACTGGGCCGCGGCGCATCCGCTCGGCCCCACAAGCCCACCCTCCTGGGTGCGGCGGCAGACCCCGCGGAGCCCCGCAGGGCCAGGCACGCATCCCACCCAGGGGGGGGCCACGTCGGCCGGTGGTCCGAGGCCTTGGCATCGCTCGGCCTTGGCATCCTTTGCAAGCCACACACGAAACCAAAAAAAACACAGGAAATGGACGTCCGAGCGATGGCCAGAGGCGGGAATTGATGCACGGCCACCGCCCGGAGGGCCAGCTTTCGGAGACTCTGCAGCCGGTGGATGTGGACACATTCGGGCCCCCCAGGGGCCGAACTATATATATATATATATATATATCCATACCCACCGCCCGCTGGGGCACCAGGGCGTCGGTGGATCTGGATAGATCCCCGCCGCGCCGGTGGGGCCAAGGCCCCGCCAGCGGGGGCTGGGATCCGTGGAGCGATGCCCAAGGCAGCACGTTCGCGGACCCGCCGCGGGGGGCGCCGCATGCCCGCGGCGCGCGAGGCACGCCGCCGGCTGTGCGGTCGCGCTCGGCCGAGCGCGCGTTTGCAAGATGATCCACCGGGGCGTAATTACGTGACGTGTGTGGCGGCACCCTGCCAAGACTCCGCCTTCCCTGGCTCCGAGCCTTCCTTTCTGTCCGTCTGTCTCGCCTGGTCTCTCTCTCGCTCCCTCCCTCTCTCTGTCTCTCTCTCTCTCTGTCTGTGTGTCTGTGTGTCTGTCGGTCAGACTGTCGGTCAGACGGTCTGTCTGTCTGTCTGTCTTTCTGTCTGTCTGTCTGTCTGTCTGTCGGACTGTCTGTCTGTCTGTCTGTCTGTCTGTCTGTCTGTCTGTCTGTCTGTCTGTCTGTCTGTCTGTCTGTCTGTCTGTGTGTGTGTGTGTGTGTGTCTGTCTGTCTGTCTGTCTGTCTGTCTGTCTGTCTGTCTGTCTGTCTGTCTGTCTGTCTGTCGGACTGTCTGTCTGCCTCTCTCTCTCTCTCTCCGTCTTTCCTTTAACTTTAGGCATGTATGGACCTAATCCATAGACAGAGGCCATTAATTACACAGCAGCGAGAAATATCAATCGTGGCCGCTGGAATCGATGTTTCTCTGTCCCTGTCTTGAGGCACAATGCCGAGCCATTGGCGCCCACCATCGCGGCTGCCCGCCCTCGTTCCCGCCGTAGGCACTCGGACCCTGCGCAGGACCCACTGCCCAGGATCTCCGCGGAGCGTGGGATTCAGACCCGCCACCGAGAGGAAGAGCTCGCGCCTCAGCCGCGGAGTCAATCAGGGATGTCGTTACCCCCCTGCAGCGAGGAGCGGCTATCTGTATGTGGGCATCCTACCCCCTCGGGAAGAGGTTGCGTCCGTCGGCGGCGCGCCGGGGGAGGACGTGAGAGGGGGCAGGCCTCCTCAGAAGGCGGCGAGGCCTCGGAGAAGGCTTAGAACGCTGCTCAGAAGGCCAGAGGCCTGGTGAGCCTCACGAGGAGGGCCCGCCCCCTTTGCCTTCCCCCCCGGGGCGCGTCGCCGAGTCAGGCGTTTGAGCTCAGGAGAGGGGGGCGTTCCAGCCTCTCTCCAGCCAGCACAGAGCGGGTGGGGCCCAGGGGGTACGACCCCCCCCCTCTCCTCCCTGGGTCCTGACTGCTGGGGCAGGGCCGCCAATCCCCCTCCCATGGACAAATGATGCTGCGTCCCTCGAGAGCAGCCCGCCCTTCAATCCTGCAAGCGAGGCCGCCCTCTGTCGGAGGCCTCGAGGTTGGCACCGGCACCAGCATCGGCGGTCGCCTCCACAGGGAAGATGAGCCAGGTCTCAGTGATGGTGGGCACATTCGGGCTTCTCTCGGGTGGCCGAAAGACTGCCACCAGCACCCAAATCTAGGATTAAGTCGGGCATGTCCCTCTACAGGAGGAATCCTCGAGAATAGTCAAAACATAGTCGGGGGACGATTTTTCGCCTAGTTTTCGACTATTCTTGAGGACCTGTTTTTTTTGTAGCTTTCTTCCCGAATCCGCCTGTAGGAGGAC